CAATTTATAGATTATGCGTTCCTAGAAAATAGCAGAAGCACAGAGAAACTTAATGTGGGTTTGCGTTTGTTTGGAACTTTCGTTTTAATGGTTTTTATCTCTTTGGCCACTCACCATTCATTAATATTCATAGTTAAAGACATCGCTGCAACCCCTCTGATATGACTCTATTAATTCATTTTTTTTACAGAATAATTATACATATTTTTTTTAAACCCCTTAGACGATTATTATTATACTTTTTTTTTATCATATCACAATTTTTATTTGATTGAATTCTTTATTTTTAACGAAAAACTTATATGCATCGTTAAATTGAGAAGAATTATAAGATTAATCGTTTACAGCTACTCTTGGTTACTTAATAAGTAAATATATGAAACTCGGTTAGTCGTTATGGTTATTAATATAGCATGAGGTACCGACTGATTTGTGGTCTGAACCACCGATACGAGTGGATAAATGAAAAACAAAAAATCTACGTGCATTAATTAATATTTAGCTAAAATATTACTCTGAATTGATGTAATTATTTTGATGGTGCGACGGTTGTATCTTGAATGCAGCGTTAAAGAAATCTTGGTAGTTCATATAACACTACACGGATACAATAGATAACTTCTGGGGGCCGCATTTCATTGAATCAATTGTTCAATAAGTCGAATTGTCAGAGATTGATTTAAAGTGATGTGTTTTGACTGTATTAAACCTACTGTTTTATAGCACAATGAAAACAATTTTGTTTAATATTATAATACTTTAAAAACAATTTGAAATTTCTATTATGCATCGATGTACCGCACAGCTTGAAATCAGCAAAGTATTGTTCTTGCTTTAAAGTTTAATCATTTTCTATTTAATCGCGTACCTTTTAGGAGATTATATATTATATATAAATATGCATTTTTTACTTGAATGGTTATTTATTAATAATTATTTATGAACAGAAAAAAGAACAAAAGCCAATACAGTGGGGACGGAGCATATTGAGGTCGGTGTAGTCACAGGGCTATATGAAATAATTCCTAACTGAGAGTGATTTGATCACTCAAAAATAAAAAAATCTTTGATGTGATTTGTAGATATTAATATTAAATATCGGTAAAAATCATTGTTAAGGGAACAATGCATTGTATTTTTAGAATTATGGGGGATACGATTAGAGTGGATCGACTGTCTATGACAATTTTTGGCCGTTATTAACCACAATGTAACGTAATAAACAATATGGGTAATGGTAATATTTTACAGATACTTGTTTGACTGTAAATTATTCACACAAAGCAACATGTAAGTTTAATACGGATGATGTGCAATTTATCTGTTTTTTTTAGTTTTTCTTTAATAAATAAAATATTGACTACGTATTTTTGATGAAATGTAAATGTTATAGCTCTATTATAAATATGCTTAAAATCTATTTTTAAGATATCGAGTCACTAAACTACGCTTAAAAAGTCAATTAAAGAAAAGGTTTTCACCCCTTCTAGGAAAAAGGATTTATATTTTTTTGGTTTTCTAGTTTGTTGATGTATATCTGTAATACAATATCTAAAAAATGTTCCATGCAATTTATTTTGAAAACTACCTTGCACAGTTTTTAGCTGTGTTATTTGAGTTTTTAACTAAAAAATTAAAATGCCATAGTATTTTGTATTACAGATATTGTTGATAAACTAAACTCTTGAGATGTGTTAGGTCAAATATCGGTAAGTGTTATGATTTGTATGGTAAAAAATCCAACATCCAGTTATAAATAGGCATACAAATAATTAAAAAATATTAAACATATCAAAGTTTTATTTTATAATAGTTTCTTCTATATTATTATATATATGGTCTTCGAATAAATAAATTGTTTCAAGTTCTGGACTGATAGCAATTAGTACTAATTTTAAAGTCACCAATTTAAGATCAATAATAGGTACATGATTTGAAAAAATATGTATTTTCTTATAACCAATATCATCTTAATTGAATATGGCATGATGTTAGGAAATTTGTCTTCAACATTAGTATGGTTTATGTGGCATATAGTTTATTCACGGCATTCACCTAAGCTAATTTATCTTGAGACTATTTGATCTTTCACGAATATATAATCCGAATAAACATCACATTTTTACCACAAGATTTGTACTTCGTGCATTTTTTATTCGGAGCTGCTGGAGCTCTATAAATGACTAGATAGTATTTAATACTACCATAATAATATTATAAAGTACGCATAAACTGCGTTATTAAAATGTATGTTAATGAATTATTATTATTAATACAAACCTACTTGGCTAGCAATGCATTTTGTGCAAATCAGAATTTATTATTATATTGTTGTCTTATACAAAGTTGATTAGATTTTATTAGAGTTATAAAGTCAGTTTATTATAGTCTGACACTATGCGATTTCTAAGCTGAAATTTGTCTGAGGAGACGTCCGAAATGTTTCAGTAAGTGTAACTTTACTTAATTTCAACATTAAACGAGATTACACTTGAAAAAGTAGTTATTTATAATATCCGTGTCGTTAAAAATCACCAATGATTTATTTAAGTAAAACGGTAGACTTCGAGACGATTTTGATTAAATCGTTTCTTTGACAATTATTTCAATTCGAGCCAGAAAGTGCCACCATGTTTTAAAACGCCTGAGTTCATTGGTTTGAAAAATTATATTATAGTTTTATAAAGTAAAACTCGTTTTTATATTAATATTGTATGATATTGTATAACAATTTGAAGTGCTTTTTAATGTTGAGGTCGACCGCTAATGTTAATGGTCAATGAAACATTTATGGTCCGTGAATATTGTGAGCAGTAAGGGAAAAAAATTTTGGAAAATTGGGAAGAAAGTATTTTAATAGTTGAATGTAAATTGTATTCATTGTACTTGTAGTTGAACGATTTGAAGTTGAGCTTTATTATTATTATTTTTTTTGTGAACCGATATCGGTTATTTTATTTTTAATCCGTCTCACTCTGTGAAAATCGGTCTACATATGCTTTTAAGCTCTATTAGTCATTGAGGGTCATCATGAATCAAACAATCCACGTTAACTCCTTTAACGAGCGTGGTTAATGACCGGCGTTGGTGGCATTTGGTTCCGTCACCGGTATATGTAGGTCTTCTAGTAGTCTGCTGACGCATTACATGAGCTTCGCCAGTATTGCTTTTAATAAATCGTTAGGCGACTACCGCTATGCCGTGCAAGTAGTTTTGAATATTAACAAGGCCCGCATACGTCCAATGAACGGCAGTAGGGGGCTATTGTTATGAATTAGCATATTTGATTGTTTAAAGACGATAAGACATTGAGTGTGACAATCCATCGACATATTCTCTAGTCATGATTTTGCCGGCAATACTTACAAGCACTTTTCCATTTCGATTTGATGGCCAATGCCGGATGTTCCAATTGTTAGCAATTTGTCAGACTTTTTAAAAACAAGAAGTGTTCTATCGCAGTACCGAGAATCGCTTCCTAATAGCATACACACTTACATATCGAAAGTATGTTGCATTTAGAAATTGAAGGTAGTTGAATTGACCAGAAGCCTAACTTATTTTTTTCCGTTTACCACAGAGAATGTCGGTTACAACAATGTAGTGTGCAGGTAAAAACGTTAAATGGTTTTGTTTTCGTGTGCGGTCAATAAATGAATTTCGATCATAGGTGCATGCTTTTATTTAATATGTCAACAATATGGTGAGTATTTTATATTGCTGCTGATAAGTTGAACAGTCAGATACCGCGACTTTAATGTACGCTTACAAGATATGTAGCCAGTAAAGTGTGTATTATTGTTTCCGTTAATCAGCCAAGTATGGTATGATGTTGATTTGAGTTATCCAGTCGTATCGAATAAAAACTGCACCCTCGATTCTTGAAACTCCACGTAAAACGTACAGTCTTGAAACAATAGAAGATTACTTAAGGTGTGCGCGATAGACGTAGCGCATGGTTCACCAAATAATGGTGTAACGGAAAAGCGATTAGATGTTTTCTTCATATAGATCTGTTATACCTGCTCGTCCCTTTGCGGTCTATGCCCGAAAAGTGGAATTTCTTTATAGTTACATACCTTTAAGGAGGTCAGAGTTCACGGGGCTAAAACTACAACGACTTCACGGTCGCTTATAAATACTACAGTCGGACGTGACAAACGGTACCAATTGATGATATCGCTGTTTATTTTTAATATATGTATTAATGGGGTGTCTTTCGATTTGTGTCATTACATCTGGGTAATGAAAAACGAAAGGCACGTCGCTGTTGTATGGATAACCTACTGAAGGTTGCTTAAAGTATGCATGCGATCAAAAGGCTGGGGTTGGGCAGAAGCATATATGTAGTATTGAGTAATTATGTAATTTGGCCTTAATAATAATTAACCGCGCTAATACGCGAACCATATTTCCTGTTATTGTCCGCTCGTCATTGGAACGTTTTTCCTCGTTTTAGCGTTAGCTATATTATCGCAGTGTATCGTATTCACGTGAAAACATCATAATAATATATTCCTGACGATTAATCCCCGACTTGAGGCCGTCGTGTTACGGGACAGCGATAAAACCGTAGCGCGTTCTATGATGATGGGCTTTGAGAGACATCTCAATGGTGTGCCGGTGCCATTCACGAGCACAATGTGATTCATTCGAAAAGGTTTTGAACGTGTGGTTCACCGAAGATAATTGGACGGACTCGGTGTACGTATTTTTGCATACCAATGTCACCGTCGTCGTCCGAATACCTTTCCCGTCGGTTTTCGTGACCTGACGGTCGAAACGAGAAAATCGCAAAACCGTTTGAACCGCTACCTTTTACGTCAAAACGTTAAATCCGCGCACGCCGTCTCCGACAGGGGCGATCTTGCAGTCGGCACGCGCCGCTTTTGACGGCCGCGGCTGTGACTTTAAGGTCTACCCCAGGTCGAGATGAAAGCGTACGCGAATCCCGCCGCGGACCTAGGTATTTTATTAATGTAAATCAAAATTCAACGTACCTAATGAAAGTATAAAGAACGTGTTGGGCGCTCTTTTTATCGGCCTGTCCCCATCGTTAGCGGGTACGTTGCGCGCGTTAGTCCGAGTAATCCACAGCGTTACGCTCAGACACGACGACGGACATCCACTCCAAAGAGGAACGCCGCGGGTGGAGGCGCATTTCACCGACAGAGGTCAAAACTCTCAAAATCGCGGTCGCGCACAAACACACGGTATTTCGGCCGTCGGGGTCACTTTTCACCGGTCGTTGAATTATTATTATTATTGTCGTGTAAACACTCACGCGAAAACCGGGTATGGTTTCGAAAAAAAAAAAGTAACGATAATACACACCCAGACCACTTGAGACGCGAGACGTGTAGACTAGAAAGGAAAAAAAAAAGCGGTAAACACCGTACTTAGAAAATCAAAATTTGTACCGTGTCGATATTTTTTTTCCCCAACGATATTGGCGAACGCTAACGATATTCAGAGTGCTGGGTAAAACGACGCGACGGTACGCGCCAACAACGACAGCGACGGCGACGTACAACAGGAACGAACTGCCGGAGTGGCGGCGACTACGAATTACGATTTACGGCGAGGGACGCACGCACGCACACCTGTTGATCTTCTTGAATCGGTTGCATTCTTAACACACCGCATTCCACGCTAGACTCTGCCGGTTATCAGTGTTGTGCGCACTGTCCATGTTACACACATAATAATACGGTCATGGAAGAGAAAACAAACCGGACAATCGACGCGAAGGACCTGCTGTTCGTAACGCAACGTCGCGTTGCCGGCCCAGTCGATAGAGGCGCCACCGTCGCCGACTGCGACGCGCCGCCAACCGGTTTGGAAATAATAATAATAATATTGTTATTATTATTATTATTATTATAATACCTATTGTAGTAAATCGGCTTCAGACTTGAGTTTCTCCGATCTGGTTTCGCGGGTAGTGTGTATTTCAGCGTACTATCGTCGATGTAGTATAGATTTTTTTTCCAAGCCGACTCAACAAGACAGTCGTCTTCATTTCTCCGGTGCACACGAAATGCGCCCGTCGTAGCTGAAACCTAAAGCCAATACATTTCGCACAGTACAGCAGGTATTTGAGTAATTTACACGAATTGCGACTACAGATCTATGGTGTGCTATCAAAAAATTAATCAAGAACTCCTAAATTATTTTGGGCGGATCGCAGACACTGTGGATAACATAATTTTTAATAAATCATTTAAGGTTATCCGGTACGTTAAAATAGTCTTGAAAAAAGTTTATTGACCTTTTGTTTATTAAATCTTCCTTCTCAAGTCAAACTTATTATTATATAGTAATAGTATGTCGTATAGAATAGTCGTATAATGTTTGTTGTGCCTACTTTAATGTCGTTAACACTCGACTTACAATTTAAGGTCAAAAGGTTAGATTTAAACAATAGAAAAAAAATTGTAAAATTGTATGCTGTCGCGATTTATGCGGTTGCTACTTACAATAATTCTATCATATTTCAGTAAATATTTTAAGTGAGGAGAGACAATAGGTATGTAATCAAAAACATTATTTATAAATTACGTGTTTCACTATCATTATAACTGCATACACTTTAAAATCTTAAAATAATTGAAAAATAAATAATTTGATTGACAATACATTTATTTAAAATCGCGTAGTTTGATTTATTAGATTCTTCAACACAAAAGCGCGACTAAAGGTTTTTTAATTTATTTTTATTATTAAAAAGCCTCGACTACAGGGCCATTGGCGTACAGTAAATGGTATATAATATAATAGGAAAATTTAAAACACACAATAGTTTAAATTAGAGAGAATAAATTCGATTTTTTAAGAAATTGTATGGCGTTTCGTTCTGTTTGAATGTTAGAGTGAAGTGCTGCCTGGAGATGATCTGGGATGTTGAATTCCGTTCGGAGGTCTTAATATTTCTTGCAATCAGTTTTTTTATTTATTTTGTTTTAAATAATAACTTTTTGGGTTGAGAATAATATACTGAAGATGAAGATAGTTTGATTAGAAAATTGTTTAATATTTAAAAATAAAGGGTCCTTTCTCGGACAAAGCAGAACTTATGTGTCAAATAACTTTATAGTATTAATCTGTAATACTTATGTCGTATTAAAATTATGTACGATCATGTCCAATAAAGGAAAATAATTGTTTTTAAATAAATTTGTGCAATTGATTGCTTTATCCCACTCATCCATAGAGCCCGTCCAGCTGTTATTTTCGAATCGAGTGTAATTTATTTTATCGTCCTAGTTAGTGGCCAGCACGATCTTATCATGTGAAATAATTATTAACATAATTTGTTGATCAAGCACGGTCTCATAGCATCGATAAAACGCAGAGTGAATTTGTAGTTGGACTCTTTGCAATTTGTAAAGTGTTCATTAAACACGGTTAGCCGCGTTAATTTCTTATTTAATTAGAACCTATTAAAAGTGCGTAGAATACATTTAACGTACGTTGACTATCCCGTATACGTTTTAGGCGATGCGGTACATTTTAGTTTTGGTATATTTTGCGCTGTGCCCGATCAGTACGTTTGCATGGAATTATTCTAGATCCAACATCGAAGCTGTGTTCCGGAAATTCATTGGGATCATGTAGGTATACCAAAGTCGCCAATTTTATATTGTGTAAAAGAAATATACCGATAGAATTTCAACATTTGGTCAAACACCAGCTGAATAAGAATGTCGTCAAAAATACCGATACTAGGGTATTTCATAGACGTAAACGAGAAATGTTTAATGTTTATGAAACCCTTGTTATCTGGGTATTTATCAAAATATTAGAACAACCCTTAAAACTAACAACTTCACTGGCAAAAATGGCCAGAGTAATGAAACAAGAAACAGCTAGGCGGCCTTACAAAGAATTAACAGACAAACACGTCGAACGTATTGAAGATCGACCCTTAGAACTAACAACTCTACTGCCAAAAAAGGCCAGGATAATGAAACAAGTAGTATTTAAGAGTCCTTACGAAGAATTAATAGAGAAACACGTCGAAGGTATTAAACAATACCTACATAAACTTCAAAATACTAATGAAACTTTCCCTGATAAAAAAAGAGGTAAAAATAGAATGGAATATCCGTGAATATCTATGTGGTTATAATATCTACGCTAAAATAAAACATTCACATCAAGATGATACAATTCTACCCTCGAAAGTTCTCAAGTATTATCACGAACGTTTAGGGCTTCTAAAAAAACCCCTATTGTAACTTCCAGGCCGTTAAGACATTCGACTGATAATTATATATTATGTTTAATTATTATTATTATAACAAAGTATTGTTATTTTTTTGTTGTTCTTTTATGCTTAATTATTTATTATGAACTTAAATATAGTTATTATAGTTTAACTATTACTAACGGCTAAGTAAAACATATTATAAATTAACATATTAATACTGTATAGCTGTTACAATATTGTACATTTTAAATTTTAACATTAAAACTATATAATAATTGGAAAAAATAGATAAATAATTTAAAAACGTAATATTAGAGAAAAAGAAAGAGTTCACAAATTTATTGGATTTTTTTATCATGCAGTATAAGTTCACGCTAGAAGGTAAATACGTGTTTTCTGTTTTAAAAAAAATTAAAACATGACGTATAACATTATTACCCAATGTTACATATTAAACTTATATAAAAACAAATATGTATAGCAGTGGAGCGAGCAACACGTAACCAGCACTCAGGATAGCCCTGAAGATGGAAGATGAAAGGCTTTGCCAAAACGTTAGCAAAGCTAATTTATAAATATAGGTGTAACTGTAAAACATGTAAATTTATAACCAAAATATTGGTTATAAATTACGGTAGATTACAAAGAATTCTGTAGTAGACCACATTTTTTTTATGAATACCATTTTTCCATAATATAATTATAATTTATTGTTCAAGTGCATACTTAATTTATAATCATTTTTAACGTTAACAACACAGGCTTACAGAGAAATTAATAGCTGTAAGCTGTAACAAACAACAACAACACTATTCAAATAGTATCAATTTAAAATAATTATTGTACTATCACATATGATATTTGATGTTAAAATATATCTGTTCTTGTAACTAGGTATATTATTTGTAAATTTAATATAAATATTTTAAGAATCTATTATGTTTTAAAATGTATTTTAAAGTCATACTAATATGATATTATATCAAAGGTTAAAATGTAATATACATCGATTGACCACGGTCAATGGACAAATATAGCTACCGTTATAATAGCGAAATGGACGCAATGAATACATGGTTGATAAAGGGTTGCGTCTAAAATTCCCAAACAAAATAACTTCAGCATTAGCATTAGTAGTATTATTAAGTATAATTGCAATAACAATTTATATTTATTGGTGTTAGATAATATATACCACTTTTTAAAAATTCAATTTAAATTAAACTTCATTCAATCGTTTTAACCTTTTAGGGTGTCTGGCAACTGACAATTTAACTTCAACAAATTGTGGTAGATTTATTTACGCTTAATATGATATAAATTAATTCGATACATATACAATTATTTGATCCAGAATAAAAACCGCTACCAGATCCACAGTCATTTCTTCACAACGGCCGATGATCCTCGCGGTCACTAGTATCGGCCGAGTAGCCGTCGTCGTCCGTAAAGTTCTTATTCAGCTATATTGTGTGTTAAAAGTACAGATTGTTTTAAGATTCAGTAAAAAGACTGCCACCAGACCCGGATTCATCACAGCGGTCCGCCGAAATATCGATCTACAAACGAAAAAAGTAGTAAATACTTTATAGCATACGTAATATATAATGTATGGAAACGTTACTTATTTAAGTGGTGTTTTGTCAGCGAAAGTGGTTGGAATGATGACAGCCTACACGTGGCCCAAATTACACGCAGGATCTTTATTATCTCGTGTCAATGTCATCGTCTCCGGACATGCATAAAAGTCTTCCAATAACCAAAACTGTAAACTTTTATACTTATGTCAACCACGTTAAAAAACCTAAATATTTCCTTTTCGGGACGAGCCCTGAGAATGACCCTAGAAGCACTTCAATAAACATTGAAGGATTTTCAAGCATTAAAAGTGATACTTTACAAGACATGTACCAAAAAAAAATGTATGCGACATCATATGCATTCAAGAAACACACACTGTCACAATAACTCTTGGTGCTACATCGTAACGAAGACTGGGAAGAGAGAAATGGACAAAGACAAGCGACCTAACGCCTAACACTGATACAAAGCTTCTATCGTCATTCAACAGCGGTAAATGGAAAGGAGTAATAACAAATAAAAATAGAGACGACGCAAATACCAAACTCTCAGTATGGACCAATAACATGCATTTTATTAGCGCTATGGCATTGTAATAAAATACCACAGTGTTCGGTGCAAAAATTATACATATAAAACATTTTTTTTTTTTAAATGATCATATTTTATTTAATTGCTATTGTTAATATTAATACATATGACATGTAAAACTGATGGATACAAAACATGCTTGTACATATTAAACAGTAAATCGTTTTGGTGGTGGTTGTAAAAC